CTCTCTCTCTCTCTCTCTCTCTCTCTCTCTCTCTCTCTCTCTCTATCCTTCTCTCCTTCCTAGATGCCATAAGGTGAACAGCTTTCCTCCCCCACACCAAAACACTATGATGTTCTTCAATGGAGTCAGCTGACGATGGATTAAGACCAATAAAAAGCTGATTAGCACACCAAGCTTAAACCATTTCCTTTCTCCCATGCCTTGGTGTATTTAGAATTTCCTTCCCGATAAATGCCTTGTTCTTTTGCTTTCTTAATATTTTTTAAGACACAGTACCTTTATTTTATTTATTTATTTAATTAATTATTATTATTTTTATGTGGTGCTGAGAATCAAACCCAGTGCCTCACACCTGTGAGGCAAGCACCCGGCCACTGAGCCACAATCCCAGCCCAAATCCCTTGTTCTTGAATCCTTTGCTCAGAAATTGCTTCTGAGGAAAATCAAACTAAGATACTAAATTGATTTCAGGGCCCTGGTGGTCTTCTGCCAGTGAGTGTTATCTATCATTACTAAAATAGGGACACTACAAAATGAGTGTCATTGCAAAAGAACTGTGAAAAGTGAACAAAGCAACTTCCCTCATAAAAGAGCTGAAAATAAGCAGGGGTTCAGTCTGTCCTTCCTGCAGTCACCTACAAATCACTACTCTTGCCTGGGTAACTTACTATTGTCTCTCAATTTTGTTTTATTTCAGGCATTACCCAAAGAAGAGTCCCTAAGTGCACTGATATGCATCCCTCCAGTTGTGCTAAGATGGTCCTTGGTGGCCAACAAACATTTCTGAAATGGTAGCTATGAACATAAATGATTATCAACACTTCCCTATTTTTGTGCTGAACGATTCATCAAAGGACCATCAGAAGTTTTATTCTCTACCTTTCAAGAAAGAATTTTCATGATGAATAGAAACCATTTTGATCCACAAATTTCTCTACTATAAGTGAGCAAAATGGGTGTCTTATATTTGGACATCCTGGGTTATGCAAGAAAAGATTCACTGACAGCTCATGAATATCATGTTCAAATTTTTTTTTTACTTATGTGAATCTAGATTCATCAGTCAGAATTTCACTTTGGGTTGCTAAGTTTGAAAAGGCTATACAATTGCTCATCTTCTTTAGTTTTTGAACTATATATCTCTCCTTTTCCCTTGGCCAGTATGTATCATTTACTTAGGATTTTTCCCTATGATTTCTAGTATACAATCTACTTTTATAGTAAATTTTTAATGAGTGCATTTTAGATACACATAAAGATGCCAGGATAGAACCTATTTAATATGACTTTGAAAACTAACACCCATTCAATCAGAGGGCTTTTAAAATTTTTTTTCCACTTTATTGACCACTTGGAAATTCATTAATTACTGCTCCAAATACCCTTATAAAAGAAAAATTGCCAGGACAATGGGAAGAAAATCTGTTGATAAGGTACAGGGACATATGAGTCCACAAACCAAATCTGTAATGATATTAGAGGGATAGAGTCAAAGGAGCAGAGTCCTGGCATGTCCCACTAAAAATCCAACTTCCAAAGTAAGAGTTAAAGAGGTGAAACTGAAATCCAACACAATGTGTCAATGCTCCTGAAAAGTTGATTGGACACCTAATTCTGATTTGGTCATTGTTATTTTTCCTTCATATACTGTTTTGGATAGAAATTCATGGGTTGTGAAGTTAAGAAGTTATGAAAGAGTAATTTGAAATGGGGGGAGGTCAAAAGAACTGTCAAATTACTGCTTCAATTTTAGAAAACCATTTCCCACAATTGTTCTAAATTTGAAGTGGTGACTTGTGACAAATAAGCAATACTTTTGGACAAGTTCTGTTTTCCTTTATAAAATGCTATTTAACATTTGAGATTGTGATTAGCTAAAATAGAGTCTCTGACTCAAGGCAAAATTACCTTCTGTTAGCCTTGACATTAGAGCTGGTGGAGGAAGGAGTCTTCATGTTCCCTAAGTTGTCAAATAAAGAAAACAAATCACTTAAATCTATGACTAGTGACTAGCTAGAATGGGTTATAATAATCACAGACCTTTGTGAAAATCAATTAAGTGCAATGCATTTTAACTCACTATCTCTGGTCCTCACGGAAACCAAGAAAATAGGTATTATTATTACTCATTCTTAGATAAAAACCAAGCCACCAAGAAATTATATATGTTCCAAATCTAATTGCTAATAACTCTTGGAGACAGTGTATGAAATCAAGTCATATTGGTTCTAAAACCCAGGCTCAATCTACTACCAACCCAGAGCTTTCTAAGTTATAATTTATGATGCACTTCAATGAAATGAAGATTTTGCCTGGAGCTCTAATAAGGAAAGCAGATAAGAGAGCCTCCAATTGAACAGAGAGAAAAAAGTCCACAGTCTTGCTGCTTAGATTTCTTCCCCATGTCTCAACCCTCTCTCCAGCAGGCCCAGGTGATTTCATGAAAAGTTGGCTCTCTGAGGGAAAACCCTGTTTTATGTTTCGTATCCCACTGACACCTTCTATCATAAGCAAGAGCATTCTTCTGCCTATCAAGGGTCACAGATTCAGGTGCCCTTAGATGCTCTCAACACAACCTTGGTGCACTGTGGCAGTAAACGAAAGTTTCCTTTCCTTCCCTGCCATGATCTTTAAAGGCATAGATTTCTGTGAGCTGATGTGACTTTTTTTTAGTTTTAATTTATTAATCCATATTCCAATTTCAGAGTGTTCAATAATATTATTAGTGAAAGGCCATTTAAACTTTAGCAGTCAAGGAAAAGAAGAGAAAGACCTTGTTTAACAAGCAAATACCATACAACACTGAGAAAGTTGGTGCTTTTGTATTTTTGTGAACTTCTATCTTGTACATGTATATGTATTTATTTCAAAGTCTAGTAAGTATGCACATGAATATAAAAGTAAAATTAAGCTACCCTATGTTTCCATATTATTAAATGGAAAATTAAAAAAAAAAAAAACATAATGTGCTAAAGAATTCCCCCCCTGGCAATGCTGGTTAGGGGCAGAATGATGTTATTTAAAATTCGTCTCTCATTAAAAGAAAAAAGAGTTTGCTTCTTCTGAGATGCTGTATATTTCTATCAGGGCTCCACTGGCATTTTCATCAAGGTGTTTATGAATCGTAATGCCGTTCCACTGCAGCTTCTGACACACTCATTAATTTGTTCCCAGCGGCAGTTCATTACCAACATCACAGCAAAACATGCTCTCTCCCTGGGCACTGAGGGTCCACCGGAAATTAAGCAGACAGGGCTGCAAAACCCCTCAGAGCAGTCAGCCAGCTTCATCTCCTGCAGCAGGCTGGAGGCAAGCACGAGACAGCGGCTGGAATGAAAGCATCGAGCCTTCCTGGGTGCCTCTGTGCCTTCAGAGTCTTTAGTTGACATGAACAGCAATTCCTTGAAAAAGGATGGGATCTTGCTGTCTCAGACACAGGTCTTCTCTGATCTGCCTGCTCTGGGTGGCGTGGAGAAAAAAATCTTCAGATTTTTAGAACAGGGAAAGCTTAGCATTTTTCCTTGCTTTCAACTGTGTGGTGGCTTCCCGCGTGTACTGACCCTTCCTGGTCAATGAGGAGATGTGAGCTGCCTTGGAGCACTTCACTAGCATCTCCTTGGAGACGATATTAAGGAAGCCAGAGACTTCTCAAGAATAAGCAGAGTCTAAATTTGCTTCTCAGAAAGCTCTACTTTTATAAAAAAAAAATTAGGGTTCTAGTAACATGCTAGATTGAAGGAAAAGTTGAGTAGTCTGAATTCTTTGTTGTTGGCTATATCACATAGGACCCTAGACCATGACATGTCAGCATGGGATTAAGAAGCTGGAAACCCAGGTCTTAACCATGACCTAAGTGCATTCTGAAGTGTGATGTGCAAAATTTTCAATCCCTTCTAATGAAGGATGTTGTTTGATCTAGATCAGGAGACTTTTAGGGGCTCAGCCAAAGCCAGAGGACTCGTCCTTGGCTCATCTCTCTTCCCTGCATTTGAGCCATCAGCAAATTTGACCAGCTTTATCTTCAGAATGTCCACAGTAAGACAACTCACAGTTTGCTGACTTCACAGCTTACATCCCAATTCCAGTCTGAGCTGTCATAATCTCCCTTTGTACCTCTGAAAGAACCTCTTCACTGATTCCTGCTTCTTCTCTTGCTTCTCCTTTATCTGGATCAGTTATAGCATGCAAGAGTTGCTGGTTCAAATGTTAAGTGAGATTGCATCAGCCTCCTGGTCAAAACCCTTAGTGGCTTTAAGCAGAGTAGAATCCCAAACTCTCACAGCTACCAGAGCAAACTCAGTGATATGGGATCTCAGTGATGTGGAACCCTGGTCTTCCTATTGCTCCCACTCTTCCAGGTGCACCTCACTCTATATGGGAACATGCACAACAGGTATGCTTCTGGCTTCAAACATTTTCACTCTGTTCCTGCCTGAAAAACTCTTTCCTGAGAATCCCCAACAGTTCATGTCTTCTCTTCACTAGAGTCAAGCTAAGATATCGTTCGTGCTGACAACCTTTCCTTACCACCAAATCTTAACACCCTATTTAAAACAGCGTATGCATGTGCATGTTTCCCTAATTCATTCATGCTGTCATTTCCATAAGTAATTATTAAACACCTGATATGAGTCACACACTATTTAGGGCACTGGAATAGAGAATCAAATAGACCAAGTCTAAATTCTTAGGAAGTTTACAGTGTAATTAGGAACAAAAGTTCACAACAGATGATAGAAAAATTATCAAAAAGGATATATAAACTAGGCACCAGTGGCACACACTTATAATCCCAGTGGCTTGGAGTGCTGAGGCAGGAGGATTTTGAGTTCAAAGCCATTGAACATTCCTTGTCCTTTTATGCTTTATTTTTCTTGATCAACTCATCATCCTCTTCTATATATTCTTTTTTTTTTTTTTTTTTTTTTTTTTTTGGTACCAAGGATTGAACACAGGGATACTTGGCCACGGAGCCACATCCCCAGCCTGTTTTTTATTTTATTTGGAGACAGGGTCTTTATGAGTTGCTTAGGGCCTCACTGCTAAGGCTGGCTTTGGACTCAAAATCCTCTTGTCTCAGCATCCCCAACCCACTGGGATTATAGGTGTGTGCCACCGCACCTAGCTTACATATTATTTGATAATATTTTTCTATCATCTGTTGTGTACTTCTGTTCCTAATTACAGTGTAAACTTCCTAAGAATTTAGACTTGGTCTATTTGATTCTCTATTCCAGTGCCCCAAATAGTGTATGACTCATATCAGGTGTTTAATAATTACTTGTGGAAATGACAGCATGAATGAATTTGTTCGGATATTAGGAGAACTGTTTTGCAATGATGAAGCTATTAGAAAAAAAATTAATTGACCTTCGTGATTCAGAAGGTAGTCTTGACCTCAGCTGGCAGGTCCAGGCAGACAACCACATTAATGTGTCATGAGAACAACCCTAGGTTGTATGATTAAAACCTCTATTATCCTGTGAAGAGCATCCCTGCCTCCCACTGAGAAGGAGCCACCCCTCAAAGTTCATTATGAAGCAAAAAGGCTAAGTGAATGATTTATATGCTACCTGTGCTCTTCTCCATTCTAGTGCTTTCAGTATTCCACCTCTCTTGTTTCCTCAACTATGTCTCAGACAATAATTTCATGTCACAGATAATATGAATCTAACAGATGAATTTCCATGCAGGGTACAGTTCCCTTACTATTGATGTGGAGAAAAACATAAACAAAGCTACAGTAAAGCACTTTTTCAGAGGTTGAGAAAAGCCAGCATAAGCACAAGAGAGAGTCAGGTAAAACTTATTTAAGCAATGGAAAAATAAATGAGCATATCTCCTTTTCTTTTAAAAGTTGCCTAATATTCAATAATATGTATGAACTGTAATGTATTCAATCCTAACCTTGTTGATACATTTTCCAGCTTACTCTCCATTTTCTTCCTCTACAGAGATGTAATAAACACTCTCCCACATATATCATTACTGTCTTTTGCTTTTAGTTCTGTGAGCAAAATTCCCCAAGGTGGGATTTCTTGCACAATAGCATCAACATTTTTAATTTTAAACAATATTTCTAGGTATTATTCCCAGATATGTTAGCAACTTATTTCCCACCAGAAATGCACAAGTATCTCTTCACCTTGCCTTCAAAAATCTCTTCTTACCACATTGGACTGCAAATCTGATAATTCAAAAAATGGTAATTTGTTTTGTAATTTTTATTTTTCTGTACATGGCTAGGCAACATTTTATAACTTTATGTTTTTTTTCCTATTATTTTCCAAACCACCTATTCATACTTGTTGGGAGTTATTCATAGCTATTTTAATTTAATTGGTTAAGGAGATTCTTGGAACAGGAGGATCAGTGGCATCTTTCTTGTTATTACTGTTGTATTACATTAATAATATATATATATATATACATATATATAGTTTAAATCTTAATTTTACTAATGATTCAATTGCTATACTCATTTTAAAAAATATTGATATAGTCAAATATCTGTATTTTATGATGGTTTCTGAGATTTTTTTCCTTGCTTAAAAATGCCCTATCATCTCAAATTTATGAATATGTTCCAAGATTATTACTTTTGTTTTAGCTCTTTAATCTGTATAGAATTTACATTTGTATGCAAAGGAAGGGAGCTCATGATTTCTTCCATGTAGGTAATGTAGTGAATAAACTAGCACTAACATAGCAAATGAACTACCTGAGTTAAAATGCAATCTTGTTAGGATAAATTCCCATGCATACCTGGTTGTAATTTCTGTTTTTGCAGGCACTCTGACAGAAGCAACTTCCCTGAGAGCCATTAAGATCATCTGAAATAAAATGTAATTTGCTGACAGAACCTGACCAGATAGTGACCCATATGCTTTGTCAAACTTTCAGGAAGAAAGTTTTCAGACTTCATTTGCCAATAATCCAAGTTCCTTGTTCAGATACATATCAGAGTCTTACTATGCATTGAATAATTTTCTAAATGCTTTTTGTAGATTTTTTTGACTCCTTATATTAACAGCACAGGGCAACTATTATTTTGATCTTCATTTTCTGTATTAAAAAACTGAAAAAAAAAGTTTAGTTGCCCAATAACTCAAAGATGGTAAATGTTGAGCTGAGATATCTAGCTTCCAGCCTAACTTCACAGTCATTAGTTTTAACAGAAGCATTCTACGGATGATGCTCTTTCATTTTTGTATCTTAAACCTTCCAATTATCATCACACAGAAGGTACACAGTGAATATTTGCTTATGTAGATTGAACTGGGAAAAAAAACTTTTTCATAAAGAGTTTTATAACATTTGGAAATAATGACTTGAAATGAATTTGCTTCTTGGAAACTGGGAGTAATCTCAAAACAGGGCAATTTCAGTAGCTGCAAAAGAACAGCTCTAATGAGTTCTGCTCGAGAATCTTCTTCTCACCAGGAAATGATTGAAGACAAGGAGATAACCTCTCATTAATTCCTTATTAACTATTTTAATCAGGATTACATCACTGTCTCACTCTGAGCACGGACAATTGCCCGTAGGCTTTGGTGCTCAAATTCATTAAGCTGACAAGGTGGGAAGGTCCTGACAGCCAGCAGGATTGTTCCTGTGCCCCTGGGAGCCTCGTCTGGTGAAGACGTGACTCCCTCATTTCTCAGAGTAGCAATCTTCACTTCTGGTTTATTGCTACACATCCCTCAAAAACCTGGCCCAAATGGCTTCTTTCAATGAGTTCTCAAATGCTTTGCACTGTGGCTGGGAGAATGAAAGCCCTTCACGGAGGGAGCAGAGCGCACACAGATCCAAGCAGCAAGTCAGTCAGCTCTCATTATGGGATGGAGCCTCTATTCAGCAGGTCATATGGAGGCTCTGCACCTGCTAGGGTCAGGCAAGATTCTGTCTCTTTAGGTCCATCTAAGGGAGCAATAGGCCCATCTCATCACCCAGAACTTCAGGGAATACTCTTATGTCCTGGTGGGGGAATATGTCCCACCCAGGTGAAAATCATCAAGCCCAGTAGCTTAAGATTCTTCTGTATTGAACACTGCATCTTTCTCTGTACTTAAGTGGAGACCTGCAATCCCCAATGGGTGATCGATGCAACATGGACAGAGAAAGACAACCAAACTTCAGGACACCCTATTCAACTCAGTCCTGAGTGACCAGAAGTCATTATATTGGTCTGGGGACTGGTGCATGTAGCCCAATCAGAACCAATAAATACACAAGGCCTTCTGGGAAACCATGGGATATAGTGGGTCATGTGGGAGATCATGCCCCAAGAAGTAGCCGTTTCATTCACCCCACTGCAACCTCCTACACGTATAGCCTTTGAACATTTTTTCTCCTTTCTCTTCTTTGTAACACGATCATCATCTAAGTGTATTCTCACATGCAAGCTGTAAAAAATTAAATGAGTTCCTATAGGTAAATTACACATTAAGTAGCAAATTAAAAACTAATTCAAGTATTAGTTATTATCACCTCCTTGGAGTCTCCTATTAGAGAAATTTCTCACCTTTTCCCATGGAATTTGAAGTCTAAAATTTATAAGGTCTAGAACTGCCATCCTCATCTTAGATCTGTGAGGAAAGCAAGTGTCTGAAAATAAGGCAAACTTACAAAATAGAGAAGTGAAGAAATATGGAGAGAGAGAAATCTGGCCCTGATCGTATCATTTAAAGTATAGATCAAGTACTTGGTGAAAGCCTTTTCCATTATCTGTCTATCTATCTATCTTAATGCATATGTTTATATATGTGCACATATACCTTATAAGAGCAGTTATCAGTTTCAGTGGTTTAGGTTCACAGCAAAATTGAACAGAAAGTACCAAACATTCCATAGTGTCCCTACCCACACACATGCACAGCCTCAAATATTATCAAAATCATTCACCAGAATGGCATATTTATTACAACTAATATTAACATATCATTTTTACCAAAAAATCTATAGTTTAAATTAGAATTCACCCTTAGAATTATTCATTCTATGGGTTTGCACAAATTTATAATCATACATATCTACCATCACAAGATCATAAAGAAAAGTTTCACTGCCCTAAAAATACTCTGTTCCATGACTATTTATCTTTCCTCCCCAATGTCCCTTGCAAGTACTAATATTTTTATGGGCTTCTTAGTTTTACTTTTTTCAGAATGTTACATGATTGAAATTCTATAGTATAGAGCCTTTATAGATGAGCCTCTTTACTTAGTAATTTGCATTAAAGTTTCCTTAATCTTTTTTCATAAGTTGTAGCTCATTTCTTGTTAGCTATGAGTAGTATTTATTGTCTGGAGGAATTTACATAAACCTGTTGAAGGATATAGTTTCTTCCAAGTTCATGCAAATATCAATTAATCAGCTGTAACCATCTATGGGCACATTTTTGTGTAGCCATAATTTTTGGGTTTATTTGGGCAAATACCAATGTGCACAATTGCTACATTGTGTGGTAAGAGTATATGTAGTTTTGAAAAAAAGACTGAACTGTCTTCCAAACTGGCTGTACTATTTTTCATTTCTTCCATCAATGGCTGAGAACTCCTGACTCTTTACCAGTATTTGCTGTTGTCTGTATTCTGGATTTTGGCTATTTTAATAGGTTGTCAGTGGTAGCTAATTGTTTTAAATTGCATTTTTCTAATGCTACGTGATGTGAAGTATCTTTTCATAAGCTTATCTGCCATTTATACATTTCTTTGATGGATACAGTTTCTCTTTTTATTAAATAAGTTTGGGGTTTTTGCATTTTTCTCTCCAGCGAATCATAGTTGCTTCACTCTACATGGTGGGCTCTGAAGACTTCTCAACCATCTGTAGAGCCTACATATTGCACTGAACCAAAATATGGCTAATAAAAGCCAGATCTTTTCTTCCACACTTGCCTTCCCTAATGTCCAGGGTTCGATAATTGAAGCAGGTGAAATGTTTGTCCTTTAATATAACAGAGTGTTGTCTGGGTCTCCCTTATTTATGTCTGGAATAATAATTTGTCATAGCATCTAAAACTTCTGCATAAATTGGCAAGTAGGAAGAGTATGTATCAATGAGCTGGAGAAGGAGCCAACTACAAGGAATTGCAAAGCTCTGGGTCTGATTGCTCATTAGTAGGTCATAAAGACCTGCAGGAGGTACACAAAAATCCATCTGCCTTCAGAGAATGAGGCAAAAAATAGACAGCCAGGACACTCTGAAGCAATTCAGGGATCATGGCACTAGTAGGAGACATGTGGTTCTATATGCATTAATTTGCTCAGAAACCCAGAGCTTTGCTAAAATCCCATTATCCACCTGCACAAATCATTCTCATCCCTCTCTATCTTTCTGAACTACAAATAGTTCCATTTATAGACCTTGAATGCATTTTAAATGTCTCATTTTCACTTCTTTGCATATGTGATTTCTTTGAACAAAAATGTACCTATGCTTGTGTGCAAGCACACACACACACACACACACACACACACACACACACACTCACACTCAATTCCTCTCTGGTTTCTAAATCTTCCAATCTTTTAAGATAAATTTATCCTTCTCTCTTTGGTACAATGGTGTGCTGGACTTGCCTGGACTTCTTCCAACTCCCCCCAAAGAAAGTCCTGATTTGTAGCATCTGTTAATTTCCATGATTTGAATACACCCACCATGACCAGTTTCAAGTCATCAACACAAGTGAACATCAACACGAGTACACTGTTACATAGAATTTCTACCCAATAGACACAATAGTTTTCTATTACATGCCACTCTTATGGATAATAAAGTGTAATAAAACAATTAGGAAGTAATACGGATTGAGCATTTTCTTTATTACCTTTATTTTCAATATAATAACCAGAGAACTTAATTATAAACTTGTATAATTTAAGTTAACTTTGTGTGTGTGTATATGTGTGTGTGTGTGTGTGTGTTACTAGGATCTAAACCCAGGGCCACTCTGTTACTGAACTATATCCCTATCATTTCTTATTTTTTAGTCTATTTTTTTGTTTTTGTTGTTTTGAGACAGGTTTTCACCTAGTGGCCCATGCTGGCCTGGAACTAGTGATTCTCCTGCTTCAACCTCTTGAGGTGCTGGGATTACAGGCATGTGCCACAGCTCCTGGTTTATGGTTTCATTTTTTATAATGTTCATCTTTGAAAGCAAACTAGCTCTCAGAATTATTGGAAATTTAAGAATTGGTTTTTGTAGTCTATAGAAATAAAAGACAGCACTTCACTGTTCCTGTGCCAATGACACTTACCTTGGAGAAAATGATACCAAAAATAAATGTAAACAGAACATTAAACAGCTAAATTTATATATATATATATATATATATATATATATATATATAAATTTCTAATGGTAATAAATATTATGAAGTAAAACAAAACACGATCAAAGGCCAATTGAGCATTTGGAAAATAGGAAAATATTTTCGATAGTGTAAACAAGAAAGTCACCTCTGAGCAGTGGCTCTCCTTCTTGTAAATGAGGTAAGGTAGCAAAAGATAAAAAAAAAAAATCTTAGGGATGGTGCTAGAAAAAAGAAAAAAAATATCTTTTTTAAATGAAAATTTTAAAAATCTTCAGGCATTCCAGAGGGAACAAGAGCCTATGCAAAGGTCCTGAGGCAGTGGTGAGCTTTATTTACTTGGGGGACAATAAGAAAATCTCCAGTTACCAACCAATAATCCATTCAGATTCTTAAGGCGTCTAGTGGATTAATCCACTGACTATGTCACAGCTCTTCTAATAAATTCACCTCTGAACTTTCCTGGATTTACTATCACATGAGCTTTTGGGGAGACACCTCCTATCCAAACAATAACAGTCACTGTGGCTGGAATAAAGCACTGAGT